CAGAATGACTTTGTAAAGCACTCGAGAGTTAAATGATGAAGCCCCAAGAGGCTCAGCTCAGTGCCTGACACTTGCTAACGGTCACTGTGTGGGAATTGCTGTATTTCTTGGAATCCGCGGGTGGGAGGCTGATTCCCCAAGGACCCAGAGCCAAGGTGGGATGTCAGGTTCCCGTGCCCCGATTGCCACCTGCCCTGCCCCACTGTTGGCATTGGGCACCCCGTGGACATGTTTATGGGGTACCTGTGGATGTCCTGTGTATGTCAGTATGGGCTGCAGTGGAAAGGGAAGTCTCCTGGGGTCTTGGAAGTTAAAGGGAACCACCAGAATTCAGCACCTTCAGTGTGCTGGAGGCTGAGGTCAAACTGATGCTCCAGGAGGAAAAGACAAGAATGGGTTGCCAGGCCGCTCCACCCGGTAGGCCCTCACTGCATGCACCACCTTGATGGGTAAGGAGAAACACTCCTGTGTTCAAACCCCCTTCCTCCCCAGGAGCACTGACCGCAGGGCACTGCCGCTCTTGGCCTCTTGGCTGTGGCCTGGCATCACAGGTGAGGACATTTCCAAGAGCCAAGCTCTCGTTCCCTCATTACAGTGCCCAGCAGGTGTGGCATCACCCACCAGTGACTGTGCTGTGGTTCTAGTGGCCTGGCTGTTGGAATGGGACCCATCTGGGTGGAGACTGGAGACTGGGAGGTGAGGGGAACACTGGTGGCCTAGCTGTGGACCTGTACAGGAAGGGCCAGCTGTGTCCCTGTGAAAAGCATGTGCAGGCCATCAGAACAGGGTTTGAAGGACAGACAGAAGCATAGCATGACGGGCCAGAGGGAGGGGCCGGCTGTGGGTCCTCACAGCTGTGGTAGATTTGAAATCATTTCTTGGGGATCGATGATGGGAAAGTGCCGTCGATTTGCTTAGAACTACAATCCCAGGCCCCACATCCCCCTGAACAGGCAGCACAGCACCTGGACACTTGTGACCTCAATGGGAGCGGCTCCTTGGGCAGCTTCCTCAAGCACCGCCGACCAGTGGCACAGACACCGGGATCCACGGTGCCATGCGTCCTTGTATGCGTGCTTTGGAAAAGCAGTGTGCAGACTGGACATGGGCTTCTGTGTGTGGCAGTTTCAGGGGTACCCCGCTGTGGTTTGAGGTTGATCTTCTCTTGACATTTGTGCCAAAGACTCAGACCTCGTGTTTTCTGGGTCCTCTACCTGGCAGAGTCCGGCCCAAGGAGGGCAGAGCGTGCAGGTGCCCCCACCACAGGAAGGAAGCTCCACGAGGGAGTCTGATTTTTCCATTACACGGAGTTCTGACCTGGGTGGAAAGCATCCCCCCCCCTCCGGGCCCTCTATCTGCCTTTATGCTCCCCAGGCTTGGCATGAATCTCCCATCCTGGGGCACTAAGAAGGCTGAGAAAGATGGGTGCATTTTCCACTGGACATCTGGGTCCACTCTAGGGACTAGAGCTCTATCCCTTAACCTGCAGTAGAGCTTGAAAAATCAAGCATTTTGGCACAATACAACTCCCCCACACACACCTACACACATCTTAAGGAGGACAGAGGCACAGGTGCTACTTGTCAGTCATGTGGATATGAATTTGACTGTCACACCATCACCCATCCGGAAGGCACTGGGCATCCCTGTTCTCAGCAGCAGGCATGGAGTTGGCACACAGCAGGTGCCTTGTTGGACAGTGGGAAGCTCTGGTGTCACCGTCACCAGTGGCGAACAGCAAAGTCTGCAGTCTGGTTCTCACCCAGATGGAGCTGTAGCAGCCGGGAGTCAGAGCCTGGGAAGTTAATTTCGAGCCAAAGGACAGAGGCTGAAGGGCAGGAGGAACCCACAGGAGCATCCAGCTACCCTGCTCTCTGGCAGTGGCTCTCTTCTAGCTGGGAGGGACTGTCCAAGGTCCTGGGGACCCTGTCCCCGAGTTCCCTGCTGTTCTTGTACCCACTAGTGTGAAATCAGCTGAGACCTAAGCCAGGCCCTGATTGGCCCCTGCTCCACCTTTGCCTACTGTGTGGCTTTGGCTCCATATCTGGTGGGTGACAAGGACTCCGCCTGCCTGCAGAGTATCTGACATAAACAAAGATGCATCCTGGCTTATGGTTTTTGAGGTTCTAGTCCATGGTTAGCTGATTCCATTCCTATGGGCCTGAGCCATGAAACATCATGGCGGAAAGGTATGGATGAGCAAAACTGCTCATCTCATGACAGCTGGGAAGCAGAGAGGGGAAGAGCCAGAGAAGGAGGGGCTGGAATGAGTCCCCAGGGTCACACCCCATGACCCACTGCCTTCAAGTAAGCCCCCCACCCCCCGAGCCCCATGGAGTCATCAGAATAGGGTCACACAGTGCATTAATGCAGAGTTTGCAGCCCTCGGGATTCAGCCGCCTTCCGAAAGCCCCACTGGTGAACACATGGGCCTTTGGGAACATTTTAGGTCTCAATCATAATACTAGGTACCACTTTGGATGTTGGGGTTTCTAAAAGCGAGGTTCTCCTATGATGTGGCCTCACTGTGTTGGAGCGGGGTTAAGCGGTAGCCTGACCACACCCCTCCCTAATCTGGCCCAGGGAGCCACCTCTGCCCGGTAGGACTGGAGCAGAGGCCTCTCCCTGTGGGCTCTGCATCATCGCCACCCATTAAGGTTCCAAGCCAGCAGGCATGGAATTCCTGCCCTGGTGACCTAAACCAGTGCTGGCCAGGTTGTGAGAAAGACGGACAGGCTGGGGGACCTCAGAGCTGGAATTTGCAGGGCTGCCCAAGGCCTGCAGTCCCCAACATGGATCTCCTGTGGGGTCCCTGTGCATGGTGCCAAGCCAGCCCCACCTGTTCTACCTGGAGGGTCCAAGGGGAAGGGCAGGAGGATGAAAGGGTCCCCAGGGCTGGAAGGACATTGGTTTGTATTGGGTCAGTCGTTGGGTGGTGCCAGGCTCCCCAGTTCCTTCCTATACGTGGCTGAGTTGGCAGAGTTGGATGCCCCATCTGCCCCGTGTCACCACCCCCTACTAGCTGTGAGGCCAGAGACCCCTCAGAATTGGGGGCCCCACTGTGAGAAGTCATGCACACACAGGGGGGATTTGGGGTCAGATGTGGCTGTAGCACTTTAAGCAAGTGACCACTCTGGGCTGTCTCAGGCTGAAAGATTCCAGAGCACAGGAGTCGCTTTGTCCTGTCCCCCCTCCAGAATTAGCTCCTCCATGTTCTTTCCAGGGAAGGGTAGAGTTCCAGGGCCTCTGGAAATCCCCGGGGCGCCCACCCTTCAGTCAGAGCCTGTCCTGAGCCCTGGGCCTGCAGGAAGGAGAGTGCGGGGAGCCCGAGTCACGCTGCCTTGTGGACCGTGACAGGAGCATGTGACGCTGCTCTGGGTGACTTTGAAAAGCTTGATTGAGATAAATTCACATAGCACAGTTTCCCCACTTCAAACCCACAGGCCCGGGGACCTAGTACATCCATCACCACAGCCAGCCTCAGAATGTTCCCATCGCCTTAAAGGGAGCCCCGTGACCCCAGCTGTCCCCGTACTCTCCCAGCCAGCCGCAGCCCAGCCTAGGCAGAGGCAAGGCTGAGCTCCTCTCTGTCTAAATTTCCTTCTTGGGGACACGTTCTGGAAATGCAGTCACAGGACACGCGGCCCTTCATGGTCTTCTCCGTTAGCATCGCTCCCTCAAGGCTAGTGCCATGGGTCAGCACTGTACTTCCTTCATTGGGAAATACTGTTCATAGTATGCGTGTATCTTGTTTTCTTTGATCATGCATTGCTGGACACGTGTGGTTTCCACCTTTTGGTTATTATCAGTCATGCGCTTAGAGCACGTGTTCACAAGCGTGTGTTTCCCCTCCGGGGTGTGTGCCCAAGGCTGGAATCGCGGGCTTTGATCTTTCATGGCCCCGACCCCAGACTGCTTCCAAAGCCACTGTGCCGTCCCTGCTTCCTCCGTCCTCACCGACACATTAGTGACTTCTTTATTTTACCCGTTCTCCTGGATGTCAGCTGGTGTCTCGTGATGGTGCTGACTTGTGTCAAAAAGACGCCAAACCCCTTTTCATGGACTTCCTGGTCACTTCTTGGAGGACTGTTTCGATTCGTCATCTTTTTTTTAAGAGAGTTGCCTTTATCTTTTGTTTCTTTGTCTTTTTTTTTTTTTTAATACTAGAGGTTGAACATAGGGTCTCCCCATGACCCACACTGCCAGCCCTTTCTGTTTTTTCTATTTTATTCATTTTATTTTGAGACAGTTTCTCTGTCATTAAATTGTCTGACCTAGGCTTAAAACCTTGCCACCCTCCTGCCTCAGCCTCCCAGAATGCTGTGGTTTCGGGCATGTGCCATTGGTGCCTGGCCCCTTTGTTTTGGTTTTCTTTCTGTAAATAGGTTATGTTGTTGAGTTGTAAGAATTATCTGTATATCCTCAAGATGAATCCCTTGTCAGACACAGGGACTGCAGACCTCCTGACCCCTCTGTGGCTGTCCTCACATTTTCTCGTGGTGTCCTGTCAAGCAAAAGTATTTCATTGGACTTCATGATGAAGTCCAATTTATCTTCAATTTTTTTTCTTTTGTGGCCCATATTTGGGTGTCTTATTTTGCATGTTTTGAATCAGTCTCTTCTTCCCAGGGAGAAAATGGGGTGAATGAGGGGCTGTTTGGCTGGGCTGTCGTTCCATGGGCCAGAGTCTGGGGGTCTCATTTTGACTGAGAATTGAGGCCTCTTCCTCTTCCAGGGCTGTGGGGTCAGGAACTCACCAGGCATCCGCTCCTGACCCCGGTGGGGGGGGTAGCCTCTTTAGGGTGGGAGGGACATTTAAGCAGGACCACTTCCAGTGTGGATGATAAATCTGAGAGGTGAGAAATGGGACATATAGATCCGGTGGGCCTGGGTTCGAATTCTGGAGGTCTGGGGGAGACACTGGCCGTTTCACAATCCATTAAAAGGCACAGGGGTCGGATGCTGGGGTCTCAGGGGCTAATAGGCTCCTCTGTCCACAGCCATGAAGGCCGACCGGAAGCGCTTGAAGGGCGAGAAGACGGACCTGGTGAGCCAGATGCAGCAGCTGTACGCCACGCTGGAGAGCCGCGAGGAGCAGCTGCGGGACTTCATCCGCAGCTATGAGCAGCACCGCAAGGTCAGCGCTGGGCTTGGGCACCCAGAGGACGGGGGCATGGCCCCAGGGGTGTCCGGGCCGGACAGGGTGGATGCTGGATGCTGGAGTTGGGACTCCCTGTTTCCATGTCTGTGCCCTCGTGGCCTCCCATTCACCCTCTCTGAGCCCCAGTTTCCCCATCTGTAAAAGGGTGACAGCGGCATCCCTGCTGCCACAAGGACCCTGAGATTGTACACACCAAGCACTGGCACGGTGCCGACCCTATAACAAAGACGCAGTGATGTGAACTATTCAGCTTATTAATCCCATCACAAATGTGAGGCCAGGCGTGGTGGCGCACGCCTATAATCTCAGCATTCAGGAGACTGAGGCAGGAGGATTGCTGTAAGTTCAAGATCCGCCAGGGCTACAAATGAGTTCAAGGCCAGCCTGAACTGCTTAGTAAGACCCTGTCTCAAAAAAAGACAAATATGAAAAGAACAGAGCTTTGACCTTGTGGGGTTCCCCAGGGGTCCCTGAGCCCAGAGTCCCTACCAGGTTGTAATCCCTCAAACACTATTTCCTCCCCCGCTGCAGGAAAGCGAGGATGCGGTCAAGGCTCTGGCCAAGGAGAAGGACCTGCTGGAGCGGGAGAAGTGGGAGCTGCGACGCCAGGCCAAGGAGGCCACGGACCACGCGGCAGCCCTGCGCTCCCAGCTGGACCTCAAGGACAACCGCATGAAGGAGCTGGAGGCCGAGCTGGCCATGGTGAGAACTACCCTCAGGATGAGGACAAGACTTCAGGTCCAGAGAGTTGGTGCAGAGTGGGGGTGGGGCCAGCAGGCAGGCTCCCCAGGCCACAAGGACGCTTGGAGCCCATCCATCCCTTGCACCAGGAAGTGTGGGGCAGTGGGGGGCCTTAGCCCATGCACACTCCCCGGACAGCTGCTACAAAAAGCAGGGTATTGGGGTATTTAGGAAAATATTTTGAAAGAGATTCACCAAACTCAGAACATTTGTTATCTAGGATCAGTAGGATTGCACAGGACTTCGATTTCTTTCTTTTTCATTCTATTTCCAAATGTAACGGCCAGAAAGTGTCTTATTGAGACCACCCAGGAAGAAAAATGCAGGTTTTTTAATTGTAAAACAACCCCCTCCCCCCAGACACTGTTCTGAGAAGGTGCCTGGGGCCACCTGAGCTGTGCCTGGAACTCCTCTGAGTTTCCGTGTCTTTCCTGTGACTGGTCCGGGGCAGGGGTCTTGATCACGTATCTCTCTGCAGCATGGCTGGGGAGATATAGAGAGCTCGTGCCAGCAGTGTCTTTGAAACCCACCAGGGCTCCTGTGGCAGCGGCCAGTGGAGGTTGTACAGGGAGTCGCTGAGGAGGGTCTTGCATGGCTCCAGATGGACCACGTCCTGCAGGGCTCTCATCTCTCTGGGCCTCCTGGTGCTGTCCATCTACACAAGGATGCCAAGCATAGGGCTCTCCTGCAATTTCAGGGAAGTAATGCAAGGGACCCTTAGCACGGTGCCTGTGCGTGGTTAACAATGACAGTATGGATTCCTAAGGCCACTTGCTTCAGAGCAGGGCTGTCTCTCCTGGGTCTCCCTGCCCGATGCTGACCCCTAGTGGTGAGGGCCATCAGGGCAGGAAGAGACCACAGCCTGGGGTCCCCTCTGGGCTTGGCTTCCCATGATGTGGGTGCTGTTGCTGCCAGCCCCACAGGTCTCAGACCAGCTCTCTCAGTATCCAGCACAGACAGACAGATGGACACAGTGCCTCCTTGTGCGGAGCTCTGGCCCCACATCCTGGGGACTGCCTGGATTGGCAGCCAACTCACCTCAGCCCCTGGTCCCTCCGCCGGGCCCCTCAGGGGCCTGCTTCCTCCTTCTGGTAGACATCCAGCCCTCGGCTGCTGGAGGTGAGCAGCATAGATGTGGATCTGTTGGGCAACACCACAGGTGATATCTGCCCGGGGACAGAACGGGGCTGTGCAGAGTTGTGGCAGCTCCTGACTGCTGGGGAGTCCATCTAACTGCAGCCCCTCTGTCATCTACCACCTGTAGTTCTGAGTAATCAGCAGACCCAACTGCCCAGTCTGTCCACCCTGCTGATTCAAGGCCAAGTCCCAAGGTTTCAAGAGCAGAAAGCTGCTCAGACTAGCTGTGCTGGGAGGCATCATGGTCCAGGGGAGGAGGAGGAGGAGGCCAGGCTTAGAGACAGCTGCAGAGTCAGGCCAGCCTGGGTTCTGGGCAAAAGGGTCAGCACTGAGTGCCATGGTGGGGAGAGGGAGTCTTGGCACTTTGTTCTCTTTAAATCTACCTCCTCCCCAGCCCAGGTGAGAGAGCCCAGGTGTGGGCCTCAGTTTCTCACCTAAAAGTGTTCACCATACTTGCTAGAGGGCCAGAGGCCTAGGGGAAGAGCCACCTCCCTGAGGGAAAACTTGGCTCTCCTCATCAGTAGGTTTTGCTTTGTTTTTTGTGGTACCAGAGACTGAAACCAGGGGATTCACACAGAGCACATTCCCATCCCCTTCATTGTTTATTGTGACACAAGGTTTCCCTAAATTACTAATTTGGGCACTTAACTTATGATCTGCCTGCCTCAGCCTCCCAGATTCCTGGGATCATAGGAATGTACCACCATGCCTGGCTCTCTGTGTTTCAGCTACGTGCCGTTATCACCGTCAGACAGACAGGGGCACAGAGACCAGGAACAGGGGAGGAGCCTCTTAGGGTCCCACAGCCAGGAAATGGGGGGGCTGTGACCGAATTGGAGCAGTCTACTTCCCGAGTCCCAGCCCTGAGGCACAGTGCTTGCACACCCTAGCAGTGAGGACGCTGGGGCTGAGTGGGGGAGAAACTCGCTCAAGCTTGCACAGCAAACGGTAGAAGTGGATGCTGGATCCATTTCTACCTGGACTTCTGTCACATGGGCATATTTGTATCACTTCACCGACTTGCAGGTTCTAGGGGCTCAGAAAAAGGTGGAAGCTCAGAAAGGAAAGGAGGGGGTCAGACCCCAAGAGGAGTTCCCAGCATGGAGCTGCATTCATGAGGGAGGTCAGCAGTAACGCTGTGTAGATGGCCATGGGGAGGTGACCCAGCTGGCCGAGTGTGCACACATGTTTAAAGTTGGCCTTTGCAGGCCTCGCCTGCAGTTGAACTCTGTCTCACAAGCACTGTCTTCAGGATCTCAAATATTGTGTGGTAGTTGTAATCCCAGCACTTTGGGAGCTAAGGCAGCAAAATCCTAAGTTTGAGCCCAGCCTGGACAACCTGGACAGCCCAGACAAGACCCTGTCTCTAAACAAAAAGGGCCGGCAGTGTGGCCCAGTGTGAAGGGCCCACGTTCAAGCCCTCGTACTAGAAAAAATAATTGTGCGTGGGCTCCTGGGCCTCAGAGCTCACCCTCACCAGTACCACTAACCAGTCCTGAGCCCATGACAGAAGGTGCTATACCCAGCCCTGCTGGGTGGGGACAGGAGAGCATCATGCCCAGACCTCTTCATCCTGCCGTCCTGGCTGCTGCAAAGGGCCAGGTGGGCATTCCTGCACTGCCTGTGTGTGGCTGCGGATATCTGTAAGAAGGAAGAGCCACGGGTTACCTGCCATGTGAGGGATCTCCCGCCTCCTGCCCATGAGCCTGGGAAGCTGGTCAGGAAGAGGAAATGGACAGAGATGAGAATCTGTATTCTCATATGTGTGCCTTTTCTTCCCCAAAGAATTGAATCTCACTTGCAGTAAATCCCACATACCTTAGGGGGAGATGACATGGCTAAGGAACCCAAAAAGGGCGTTATGTATGGTCTTGGACCCTTTTCCCTCTGTTTGGAGTTGACTCTAAGATGTAGCCAAGTGCTGTGCCACCCTGTACAGTGGTGGCTCCTTGGCTTTCCTGCTGTAGTGGCAGGTGGGGCTGAGCAGCAGCCAGACAGGTCTCCTTGATCACGGCTTCTTCCTGTCTCCCGGCTCTCTCTCCAGGCCAAGCAGTCCCTAGCCACATTGACCAAGGATGTCCCCAAGCGGCATTCACTTGCCATGCCAGGCGAGACGGTGCTCAACGGCAACCAGGAGTGGGTGGTGCAGGCGGACCTCCCGCTGACGGCAGCCATCCGGCAGAGTCAGCAGACCCTCTACCACTCCCACCCTCCCCACCCTGCAGACCGGCAAGGTGAGTCCTGCTCAGCCTGGCCCTGCCATGGCTTCGAGCACTTCTTACAACGCTGTCCAACCTCGTGGAAGAGGCAGGCTAGGACCATATAGGGCAGAGACCATGGGTTCTTGTAACTGAAGAGGCTAAAATATGGACTTGAATGGCTGGCTCCAGAAGTTCAAATAGTAGCTGAGTTCAGATATCATCATCTTCTCTCTGACCACTTCTGTCCATCTCTCAGTTCTGCCCACTGTCATTAAATGTCATCTTTGGGTTATCTCTTACTACAAAAGCAAAACAAAGCCCAAAAGTTCAACTCAGGGCCTTTAAAGCTCACAAATTTTGAGAAACAGAAACTCTTTCCTCTGATACATATCAAACTCAAAAATGTCTGATTGGCCAGCTTGGGTCACATGTCTAGAGAGGAGCTGGTACCAATTGGCCAGCCTGTGTCACATGCCCACCCTGCACCAATCACTGAGTCTAGAGAGAGTAGTACTTATTCTGATTGGCCAGCCTGGTCACATGCCCAACCTGGACCAATGACTCGTGTCTGCAGAAAAGTGGGTATCCCCATTGGCCAACTGCAGGGAAAGCAGGAGTCCTTGATTGACAACTCCAGCCAATTACAGGATATGCAGGAAGATGGAGTGGAAATGTCCCCTGGGTATATTTGCTCCAGACCCTTGGCAAAGGCTGCCTAACCATGACTCTAGCCCTGGTCCTTGGCTTATGCACAAAAATTCCATTGGGCTCTTGGTGCCCTGTGTGGATTGTGTGTCTGTTTGCTGAGACTTCCCTCCACCCACCTCGTGGGGTTGTCTTGGTGATGAACTGTTTCTAGAATGGGACCTGGGTAAATATTAGCTGCTGCTCTCAATGGTATCACTGTTATCACTGTCCCCTGACAGGTGATACACAGGGCTTTAGAACTTGACAGTAAACAAACTCAGAGTGCCCCCTCCGCCGAATGGAGACTGGCTGTCCAGGGAAGCTGACTCCATGGTTGGGACTGGGGGTTCCTCCTTTGGTGCCAAAATGCAAAGTTAGAAAACCTTAAAATAACACTGTGTATGTCCAACTCCCTCTCCAGGCAGGGAAATGAGCCCCTTTGAGGGCTGCCCGTTCACCTCCTCAGAGCCCAGGTGCACAGCCAGCTCTCCTGCTCCTGGACCAGCCTGGGGCAGCAGGTGGCAGAGATGCTATTTGAAGAGAGACAAGGCTCGGGGCAGCTTCAGGGTCACGTGGTGGTAGCTGACATGCATCTCCCTGCAGATGCACTTTTTCCATCTGCCTTGTGCCCCACCTTGCAGTAGGCATGCCACACACAGCTGCCCTGTGTCATGGAGATCACTGTCATCCCTGTTTCCCAGATAAGAGAACAGGCCCGGAGAGGGTAGAGAGCGTGCCCACAGCTGCACAGCTCCCTCAGTGCAATACCAGCCTCTGCAGATGGGAGAGCTGGGCTTCAGAAACAGAAACTCTTTCCTCTGATACATATCAAACTCAAAAATGTCTGATTGGCCAGCTTGGGTCACATGTCTAGAGAGGATCTAGTACCGATTGGCCAGCCTGTGTCACATGCCCACCCTGCACCAATCACTGGGTCTAGAGAGAGTAGTACCTATTCTGATTGGCCAGCCTGGTCACATGTCCAACCTGGACCAATGACTTGCGGGGGGGGGGGGAGTGCCTTCAAGCTAGGCCCCTCATTCTCCCGCTCTTTACTGAGCACCTACTCATGCTGGGCTGCGTGTGGTCTGGGGTTCGACACAGATAAGACACATGCGCCTCCTTTGCAGAGCTGACAGCATCAGCAAGCAGACGGATGGCCTCCTTGTTCATAGAGCAGCAGGAATCAGGGTGACGGTGCAGCTGGCAGGCAGAGGAACGACACAGACAGTGGGGGAGATGGTGTGTGTCCGCCTGGTCAGAAGGCTGGTGTGGCTCAGGTGTGCTGACAGCGTCAGGAATTCCTGATGAGGCCCCAGAACTGCGTGCCAGGCTTGGGGTGAGGAGGTGGACTGTGCATTTCCTCCCAGAGTGGCAAGACACATGTCATACTCACTGTGCAGGGAAGCCCGGGGATAGGTTGCCACATGTCCCAGACAAGAGACAGCAGTTGCTGCAGGGTAGGGGACAGGTAGGGGATTGGGGCTGTGTCAGAGGCACTCTTCTGGGGGAAAGAACTCAGTGGTCCCTCCGCTGACTTTGGAGGATCCTTGTTGGGAATCTGCTATTGAGCAAAGCTGAAGACCACACTGGCTCTAGGACCACCCAGGTGGAACTCCCAGGGTTAGGGCTTCACGTGACGAGGCCTCCTAGCAGTTGTCCTACTGGGACAGGTACGGCTCAGTGTTTGCAGCTGTATAATGAGGGCGTTGGGTGCACAGTGAGGACCTCCTGTCCACCCTCACTCACCAGCTGTCCCTGCCTTCTAGCGGTCAGGGTGAGCCCCTGCCACTCCCGGCAGCCCTCTGTCATCTCCGACGCGTCTGTGGCTGAAGGCGACCGGTCATCCACACCGAGCGACATCAACTCCCCGCGACACCGGACGCACTCCCTCTGCAACGTAAGGCCAGCAGCGGCGGGGCTGGGCACCCGGGCCCTGCCCGGGGACCACGGGACAGGGGGCGGGTAAAGTCGCGCCCGTTCTTTCCTCTTGTCCACCCAGGGAGCGCGCTCTGGCGAAGGAAGGCATTTCCTCCTCTGCTCTTTCCTTTTGCAAGAAGCGCTGGATGAGGGGAGAGAGAGAAAGGAGGCCCGTTTACTCCTTGTGTCCGGGAGGGCACGGAGAACCCCGAGGAGGCTGGCCTGGGTCGGCCGCAGGGTCTGTGCAGCCTACAACTCTGCCCGGTGGGCCCTGTCTGGGTGGGCCCTTTCCAGGACAATGGGCACCACCCCCCAGGTGTTAGAGGTCACCTCTAGGACCCAGAACCTTCCAGATTCATCTCCATCAGCCCTGGCTCTAGAGATGGAGCCCAATTGGTTTGGTGAGGGTTTTTTGTTTCCAAGGAGTTGAGGAAGTATCTCTTCAGAGAGGAGGCATCCTATGAATTGGTTCTAAATTTTCCTACTTGCTTATTTAATCACTTTTGATTGTATGGTGAGTACCAACTGCTAGTGGACTCAAGCCTCCAGCTTTGAAGGCCAAGGAGTGAGGCTGATGGGCTCTATATTAGTCCATCTCCATTGCTATCACAGAATACCCGAGGCTGGGAGAGGGTTATAAAGAAAAAAGGGTTGTTTAGTACACAGCTTTGGAGCATGGGGCCAGTTCTACTGACAACTCCCAAGGCATATCACACTATGGCCTCAGCAGGAGCACATGCACGAGGGAGACAGGAAGCCAGAGAGCTGATAGGGTCTGGCTTGCCCTTTTATACCAACTCAAGAGAGTGAAGTCACCAGGGTCCCCTGGAAATGATCTCAACTCCTTCCAAGGGCAGGGGTGCCTGAAAGTGGTCAGCAGCCGTGTCCACTAAGAATTTTTGTCCTGTCACATGGTTGGTGACACGGGGCTCCCCTCCACGTCCTGTAGGCAGACATCGAAAGGTCAGTCTTTCCAAAACTCAGGAAGGCTTTTTCCAAAACTCAGTTAATGTTGCTTTATTAACCAATAAAATGTATAGAAAAGAAATCGAGGTAAACACATTGAGAACAAAGACAAAGCTGTTATTCCAGATGACTTGATGATCTTCCGGGGAGACTGCAGACTATGGCTTGGAGACTCTGGGAGCCCATCCCAAGCTAGCGCAGGCTGACGCTGAGTATAGCTTCCCTGCAGCACAGCAGGCAGACTCTTTCCATCTACAATAAGAACAAAATGCTCTTATCAAAACAGCTCAGATTATTAAAAGGGAATGATGCCTCGGCCTGCGAGAGTGGGCAGCAAGAACCACAGGCCCAGGGGCCTCCTGCAAGGGCCCAGATCAGGACTGGCCTTCCCTTCTCCAGCTGTGAGGGAGCAGAGGGGACCTCAGTGACAAAGGCTGTCTTGATGCACAGAGCCCAAGCAAGGAAGCCAGGCCACTCCCAGGGTCCTGGCGTCCACTCTGTGTGCAATCACTTTGGAGCTGGCAGTGCCCTGTCCTTCCGGCGGACCACCTTCTGCCTTTCGATTGCCTCGGACAGCAGGACTGCCGCTGGCGGGTGCATTCAGCCTCTGCCCGGCCTGCCACTAGCACGGGGCCATCCAAGCACACCATGCACGGGCACTCTGGCGGCTGGTTAGTAGTCTGCATACCGCTTTCCAGTGGCTCCTGGCTCGTTCCTTTACTTATACATATGGTGCCTGCAGAATGGGTTCTGTTGATCAAACTTGAGCTAAGACCAAAGGTTAAAGCTAGGGTCTTGCTATTAGCCAGGTATGTGGTTCAGGCTGGTATTGAATTTGCCGTGTAGCCCAAGCTAGCCTAAAACTTGCAGTGATCCCCCTGCCTCAGCCTTCTGAGTGCTGAGATCCCAGGTATGCACCGTCATGTCCAGTTAAACTATCATTTCTTATATTCTCTCCACCTCAACTGCAATGCTCATAGGCAGGCCAGGAAGAGTCTCGAAATAGCTGCAGGTTCCCTGCTGCTCTCAGGCATGTGACCTGGAATCAGCAACTTCACCCGCTCCACTCCCCCACCTCCCTGTCCCCTGGCCACTGATTTAGATCAGAGCTCGGGACTCAGCACGAAGAGGCTGCAGGACATAGACACTGGTCACAGGGACAGGGTACTTCCTTCCTATGGGCAACCTTTCTGCAATTCTAGAAATGACCTCCAGGGGGCTTCTTCCTAACAGATCCAGTGTCCCTTTGCCCCAGGCAGAACAGACTGATTCCAGGTGAAGGCTTTAGCACATCTACAGACCAGCCGAGTTCTCCTGAGGCAGAGCTGGCAGTGCATCCAGCTGTAAATGTCCCATCTGTCTGAGGCTCCCTAGGGAAGAGGGAGGGCACTCCCGGGCAGCCCCAAGCTGGGGAATAAGCCGCTGCTGGACTGAGAAGAGTCGGTCCTAACTTGGACCCTGCAGCTCTGCTTGGCATTAGCTCTGTGAGGATGGGCATTCGGGTCCTCCAGCTCCTCCACAGAGTGAGAGACTCACTGTGCCACTTGCAGAGGAAGCTGGCAGCTACACCATCTCCCAAGTGGGTTTCTGTGCTCTTGTCCTGCTTCATATACACGAGAAGTGGCAGGTACACCCGCCTCCAGTTTGAGCGCAGTAGACTGTCACTCATTTGTTGATCAGAAGAATCTGGGGTTGAAAGGGCAGAGAAGGCGGGGAGCCCCCCAGGGCCTCTGGCCAGGACCCCTGGTCCAGACCACATCTCCATGAACCCAGGCCCCAGGAGCCAGCCATCTGGGAGTGTCAGCCTCAGGAGTCAGGGCGAGGGGTCCCCATGACAGAGGAGGGGCGGCCCAGAGGGAGGGCATCCTTCCTCACGTGCCACCTGATCCGCCGTTTCATCTCCATCTTCTCTCTGGCCACAGGGCGACAGTCCCGGCCCGGTTCAGAAGAACCTGCACAACCCTATTGTACAGGTAAGTGTGCTTCCCCTGGCCACTGGGTCTCCATGCGACCTGACTGGGCCTCATCTCTTATCCCCCTGGGCCCCAGTACCCTCCTGCTGCCCCTCTCCAGCTCCCAAGGTAGACAGTAGTTATGCGCTTCCCAGGTCACTGTGGGCTGGCTCCTAGGGCCACCTCTTCCGTGACCTCTGCCAGACATGTGGCTATCAGTGCAACACACATCCTGTGTCCTGCTGCCCGGCCTGCATCTTCCCCGAGCAGGCAGGGTTTAAAAATCATGGTTATTCTTTAAAAGCTGATAACCCTGGTGATGAGCTCTGCTAGAAACTTTACCTATTTTCAATATTCTGTTGTCTGCAAGGCCAGGGCTGCAGGAAGGACAAATGACATGAGGGCCAATGGGAGTTGTGGAGGGCATCTGTGGCCCAGCTGGGCCCATCTGCATTGGGGTCCTCTTGAGGGAGATGCAAGTTCCTGAGACTTCGCGCTGGAGACGCCATCACAGCCTGTGGGGTGTCCTGGAAGCCGTGCTCTCCCATCACATGTGAACCCCAGCCTTCTGTGTGTAGCACCATCATGTGCTCTTGGCAGTTTGCAAAACTTGAAAGCCTATCCCACCCCAGTGCTGCAGCTCCCCCTGCAGAGCGGGCACAGCAGAGCCGACCTGGTCCTCCTCCTCGCTGTCCTTCCCTTCTGCACCTCAGCTGGGCATAGTGGGCTCAGAGAAGCTCCAGGGGTGACCGCTTCGGGACCAGCTCCTGCCCACCCCTTCCATGGCCTGTCCTGCTCCTGCCGACAGACAGACAGACAGAGAGACACTCCTCCTGCTGTTTGCCACACTGCAGGTGGTGCACAGGGCAGGCTCACAAGGCTTTGGGCAAATTAATTTAAATACGAATCATGACACAAAGGACTAGCAACTCTGGACCATTCCAGGTGGCTCTTATGTGTCAGGCAGCTCTGAGCATGTTTTTTGCTTTTTTTTTTTTTCAATACTAGAGATGAAGCCCAGGGCCTTCACGCTGAGCCACATCCTCAGTCCTGTTCTGTTTTGTTTTGTTTTATTTTGAGACAGGGTCTGAGTTATTAAATTGCCCAGCTTCCATCCTCCTGCCTCAGCCACCCAGACTGCTGAGATGAGAGGCATGGAGCAGCCTTCTGACCATCTCTGTCCTCATAGAGTGACACCCTCCCTACGACCTGGCGGGTCCCACTGTCCCTGAGAGGTTTCAGAAATGCTGCAAGTTTGCTTAGAGGGTGAGAGGCAGAGCCTGCGATTCTGGCCTCAGGGACCACTTACATGTTCTCTGCACCCCGGTACCTTGACCCTGACCCTGGCCCCCTGACTTAGCACCCAGCTCAGCTCAGCTCTGTTCTTCTCTCCACCCTCCGCCTGCCTCCTCAGTCACTAGAGGATCTTGAAGACCAAAAACGGAAAAAGAAGAAGGAGAAGATGGGATTCGGCTCCATCTCCCGCGTCTTTGCCAGGGGGAAGCAGCGGAAGTCCCTCGACCCCGGCCTCTTTGATGGTACCGCCCCTGATTATTACATAGAGGAGGACGCGGACTGGTGATGCCTGCCGCCTTCGCCTGCCGCCGCCGCGGGCGTGTCTGTGTGTGGCCGTGCGTGCGTGCGTGCGTGCGTGCGAGCGTGCGTGGGGGGTCCGGGCCGGCGGTGGGGGTGGGAGCGCGCATGCGCGTGGGGCCTGCCTGCCACGCGTGGGTGCTGCGTGTGGCCGAGCGACAACACCGTGTGACCCTCCCCCTGCGCCGCCACCTCTGTAACTGATGTACATACCGCAAACCGTGTGTGACACTGTCAACTCTCTGTTGTCTTCGGAGCGATAGTTGTGTTTGTTAATCTGGTTTATTATTATTATTAATTATTATTATTATTATTTTCAATGTTTGGTTGTCTTTTTTTTTTTTTCCATTTTGTTTGGTTCGTTGATTTCTTTCTTTCCCCGTCCCTCCTCCTCCTCCCCTCTTCCTCCTCCTCCTCCTCTTTATGAAACTTGAAAACTTGAAAGACTGCTGTGTATTTGTAAATAACAACACTGTCGCCCTCCGTGCTTGTAAATGTCCCTCGTCCTCACCGCTGCTCCTGGAGCCCACCTCACCGAGGATGCGGTCTGGTTTTGGTGTCTCCCCTTCCTGCCGCCCCACCCCCCAGTGTGAACGTGTAGGACCAGACCCCTGTCCTCGGGGTGTGCCCAAGTCACTTTAGCTACAAAATGCCATGTTGTCAGGGTAAGGTCACTCTCCGCAAAGTCTCACGAGCCCAGCCGGTCAGGGGCCTGCCCCCTGGCCGGGTTTCTAGTAGGGTCACACGGGCCCTTTTTAATGGCCTGGCCTGTTTTTAAATTGCGTTGCTGTTTCTTTCTTTATGGAAAAAAAAAAAGAAAATTGTCTTGTTTAATTTATTTGCACAAATGCAGAAGACATATTCTATCTAAATTATTACGTAAATATCGGAATGTATATTTTTCCATGGGGTGGGCGGGAGCGGGGATCTCGTTTACTTGTGTGTTCAGTGTTCATGCTGCTGCGACGTAGAGATTAGGGTGGCCGGAACCAGGGACCAGCGATGCCAGGCTTGCTTTTCCTTTCTCCTCTGTCCCCCCTGTCTCCTGCCCTGCATGAAAGGGCCACCTGCTGCCCCTTCCCTCCTCCTCCAGCCTTTCTCTATTTATTTATCTGACTTACAGAACACGACCTCCGAGCAGAGTGCAGACTGCCACAGGCCCTTCTCAGGCCTGTCATTGGGAAGGGGGACGGCGACTGGGGCACATCTCCAGAGTGCCACCTAAGGGACCCTGGGCCTGAGACAGTTGCCCTAGGGGCCAGCTGCATACTCCTGCCCGCAGCTGTGCCCTTCCTGACCTTGGTTATTCTGTTCATGGGCCAGGCAGGTAGTGCGGTGATGGTACCCATCTTCAGGGGAGGGCTACCGGGTACACGGTGTCCAGCACCCAACCCTCTGCTCTCCCTCTTCCAATCGGGTCCATCAGCCACACTTAGGTCTCTTGGAAACCCCCAGGCCCTGTCCTCTCAGCTGTGACGGCAGCCTGAGTCTGCTCCCCACCAGGAGAGGAGAGCTGGCAGGAGCCTCCGCCCATCTGGGGACCCGCACTGCATTGGCCCAGCGAGGCTCCCCCAGCAAGGAGCTGTGTGCACTTTGACTCGGAGTGAATAGAGAGCCCCAGATGCAACCTCCCTTACCCTGTCCCCTCTAACCCCCCCTGCTCCTCCTTAACAACTAACCGCTCGGTCCGCACCACCCTCTGGACCGCAGTAGTGGCGCTTCTGCTAACAGTGACCTTTTCAGCTCTTAGAAGGCAGCAAGGTGATTTTCAAATGCTGGAGCATCTGGAATGGGTAGGATATTTGGTCCAAAGTCTCTAAAACAAAACCCAGTCGGCTCCTCTGCCCCTTCTTACGTAGGTCGGGGCTGCAGCGAGCCCACGGGCACCTCCGCTGGCTCTGCCTGCCTGCTTTGCCCCCCTGTAACCAAGCCTTGGTGGGAGCAGCAGCAGCCTGGTGGGCACCCAGAGTCTAATTTTAGAAAATCTTTTCTCCCCCAAGAATTTTTTTTGGTTGATTTTTATGGTTTTTCCTTTCCTTATGAGAAAATAAATTGCAACCACTCCTGGTAATGATTTAGTAGCTCCTTTCATTTCAGCTTTTGTAAATTAGGAGATAATTCTAAGAGTTACTAAGGATGATTTATCTAAGAGAACTACATCAAATAGCGAATGAGTTATGGGTAACATTAGCTGAAAATAACCTTTCCCTTGGGAAAGGTTTCTTGAAGGCATGGATGCAAATATAAAATATTAAAAAAAATCTAAATAAAGCTTATTTTAAAATATGATCGAATCCTATGTTATTTGATTGCTTCTATTTTGCTCCGGGTGGGAGGCTGTGCCCTCTGGGAGATGCACCCCGGAATGACCTCGCTCCTTGGAATTCCAGGGCTGGGTCCTCAGGAGGTGACAGGAGGGGCCGAGGAAAGCTGGCTACATTGTGGCGTGTGGAAGGGCCTTCCAGGAGGGCCTCCCAGAAACATCTTGCCACTGCCACCCTACCTATAATTTGGGGGAGCCTAAGCTTCCAGGGCTGCCCCTCGGCAGCCAGCACCCCGCATTCTAAGGGTCAGTGGCCATCAGCTTTCTTCTGCTTCCTCCCCACCACCCTTTCCAAAGGCCCAAGGGGGAGTCTGGGACTTTGGGGCACATTACTTTCCACAAGCCTCCACCTTGTCCCCAGTCCCCACCCTCCCTGGGGACTTACTAAGCTTCAGAGAGATAGTGAGAGAGTCACAGGGCTTCCTTTACTGAAGCCAGTGTGTGCTTTTCTAAGCCCTGTAAGGTCCTCCAAATGTGAAACTTAGTTCTTTCCCAAGACTCCCTGTGTCCCAGGAAGCGGTCACCAAGTCACCCCCAACCCTCACTGTGCGGTGTCTCTGTCTGCCAGCCTACAAATGTATTCCCCCAGCAGTAAGACTAAGGAATGCCAGGTAATTAACTCTGCTGCCATCTCTGCTAGGAGAAAGACAAAGCTGTGGCTGACAGACCAGGCCAAGGAGGTGTGAGACAGGACCCAGATCAGTAAAGACACTGGGAGACACCAAGGACTGAGCAGATCAGGAAAACTCAGGACTGCAAGGAACTCAGAGCCATCTACTCCAGAGTTTTCAAGGCGCATGTCTGAGGGTAAAATGCCAATACAGGCCAAGACCTAGAATCTGTTTTTAATCCTGGTGATTCTAAGTGGTGCCCCAGATTGAGCACCACTGGGCTAATCTGAGAAAGGCAGGTGTATTACCATTGCATCCTGTGCCTGCCCTGTGCAGACATCACTAATCCATCACAGAGTCCTTCCCACACTTCCCAGAGTGGCTCACATCACTGCTGAACCATCAGAGTTGGCACACAGGATAAAGCCTATTTGTTATCCTGAAATTAACCCAACCCCTCACACTGGAAAACCCCTGGGGAAAGCTTTGACCCAGAGAGAAGTGGCTTAGCCATGATCCTATCAGGCACCTACCATCCTGTGACCATCATGTTCAAAAACAGAGCCAGCACCTCCTTTGTACTTTTTTTGTTTTCCTGTGCTAGGTCTAGACTCTGGGCTTTGTGCACGCTAGGCAAATGTTCTACTACTGAGCTGCCACATTCTCAGTCTGGACATTTCTTCTGCTAAAAAAAAAAAAAAAAAAAAAAAATCTCATTCTATTTGTCCAACTTCTAGAAGTACCTACTGTTCAAAAATTGGAGTAGGTGTTGGAGGATACAGCTCAGCCACACAGCACCTGCCTGGCAAGCATGAGGTCTTGAATTTGAATCCTGGTACCCAAATAAAAAAGGCGTAAGGCATTCAGGGCCAGTGTTTCAGCTGCACAGGTTGTGCACTGCATTACTCCAAAAGATACCTTTCTCCAGGCTGCCATGAGAATTGTGCCACGTGCAATGTGCAGGGCTGTGCTTAGCAGCCCTTCTGCACCCTCATCCATGCTGCTAAGCTCCGAGCAGTGTAATCAGTAATAACATAACAATAATAATAACATCTAACATTACTAAGCATTTACCGTAGACCCAGCCCCATGCTGTGCACTTTTCATGTATTAACTCAGTTAAACCGTGTCTCCCAACAACTTGTACTACTGATGAGCAGACTGAGGTTAAGTCAGTTATTAAGGGTCACAAAGACCTGAGCTTCAAACTTGGAGACCGGTTGTACTCTGCCATCTGGGCCAAGAGAGGCTGGGACCAAGCAGATGAGCCTGACCCTTAGGGTCATCTTTGGGGTTTCATGAGGGACTGGCTCAAGGGCTTTGCTGCTGAGGATTGTCCCCACCCTAACTCGTAGGGTGCATCCACCTCCATTGCTATGAGCCTGTGGCCAGGAGCTGCCCTGCACCAGGCTCACAGTGTGAGGCCACTGTGTACTTCTGTGCGCTTCTCTGGGCCTGGGCTCAGGGGTCCATGTGCAGGGGCCACACTGAGCGGGATCAGCACTTTGGCAACCTTGTATTTGAAATACCTCTGAACCCCCTCTCCCAAACTTTCATTCCCCAAAATGGACCCACAGGCACCACACTGTCCTGCTCCAGGCAGACGGCTCTTGGACTTTTTCAGCTTAGACCCACCAGCTGGAGCACATCACACTGCGGTTCCCTGCTGTCAGTGGAGGGAAAAAAAGGTGATAATGAAGAATAAATAGAGAATTCTTGTTTATGTGCCCTGTAAACAGGTTCCTAACTGCATTATAAAATAATGCCCTTTAAACATAAAAATAACTGAGATGCTTGTACAGTAGAAGTTATTTGAGTCATGGCACATGAGCCATGAAATGTTAATCTACAGACAGAAATATCTGCCAGGCTTGGTGGTACACGTCTGTAATCCCAACATTCAAGGAGGCAAAGGCAGGAAGATTGAAAGTTTGAGCCCAGCTTTGGTGACTTAGCAAGACTGTGCCTAAAAGATAATAGTAATCACTTTCTAAGGCTGGGGATGCAGCTC